AAGTTGCCAACTCACAAGTTGCCAACTCACAAGTTTCCAACCCACAAGTTGCCAACCCACAAGTCGCCAACCCACAAGTCGCCAACCCACAAGTCGCCAACCCACAAGTTGCCGACCCCCAAGTTGCCAACCCACAAGTTGTCAACCCACAAATCGCCAACCCACAAGTTGCCAACCCACCTGCCAAGCGACGCAACTATTGGAAAAACCCGCTTTATGGTGGAGGCCTCTGTGTCGCAGTTAAATGGACAATTAACGGCTAATTTGATGATATACTTTATTTAATAGCACTTTGATCTCTAATGAGATTAATGGCTTTTATAATACGCATACATGACGATACTGATAGACCAAGATTGGCAAATGCAATTTACAAATTGGTAGAACTTTTAACCATTCATTTTCCTTTTATTTCAAACTTTGTCCTTAAGCAAAATATGATAAAATGCCGTCAATATTAAAAAATAGTCAATATATAAACTATAATATATTTACCAATTTGCAAACTTTCCTTCTAATAACCAACAAAAAGCGTAGACGAGCTATTTTATTTCAAAGCTTTGAAAAATCTTTCATATGCATGCAGTCTTTATACTCAATTACGAAGTCTTGTAATGAGGTACATAAAAACCTATAAAAACTAATTTTATTTTCTTCGAGTCTTTTGAGTTTGGCCTCTTGAAATGTTTGCCTTAAATTAAAAAGTTTTCATTCAGAGCCGAGAGCTCTCCACCACGGCCGGTTTATTCCTTTCCGATACTTTTTTCTTTAATGACCTCATACGATTAGACTTTAGTTGGGATTAAGAGAATTTTATGTATATTCCCAGCTATTAGTTTAAGCTTTATGAAATTCTTAACGAGATATTTTTTGGGTCATACTTTTTATGTATTTGTATAGTAAAGTAATAAATGTTCTTTTAAAATCTCTAAATTGCTTAATTCCAACCAATTTGCTAGTCTCCTTTCTTACTAATTTCTTTAAAATCTTATAAAGACAATTTTCTTATATGTGTAATATATTCGAGTGCTTTAAATATAGCAAGATCGTAGTAATTTATTATCCTTTTTGCATAATACTGGTAATGAATCATACAAAGATCCAAAGCTATGCCTTGTAAGCATTATGATTAATTGGGGTTCCAAACTACTGAAGAATTATTCAATTCTATTCTGAATAATAAATGAACCTTGTTCTTATGGAGCATATAGTATGTTTGTACATAACTGTTTGACCTTTGATAATTCCTTCATTGGCCTTATTAATTATAGCATTGTTAATAATAATTCAATATCTTCTTTCTTCATTTTAACTTGATCCAATCTTCTTTATATCTTTGGCTTTAAACATTTTAGTTTTATTGTCTTTTTCTTTTTAATTAAATTTATCATTATGTACTGATTTAGTTATAGAAAAGATAATAGTATTGTTGTCATTGTTATACTAACGACTGGAAGTCACTCTGATGAAATATTTATATTCTAGCTTATTTTTTTATGCAACATAGAATGACAAACAAGCTGACGGACCACCTGATGAAAAGTGGTAACCCTCGCTTATATACATGAGCAGTACCATAGGCATAATTGAGTATACTGTTACATCCATGATACTAAACATGCGTTGCCATTCCTGAGGATTTAGGTGTTATTCCTCTGTACCCAGTAAATTCACTGTCATGTTCCACAAACTTCAAACCGAAACACAACCATGCAAACAAAACTGATTCACAGTAGAAACACGAATGGAACAGAGGTGCCCAAGCAAACGACTTTTGTATAGTCTCCCTCTGGTCTTATTCTCTGGTCTGCTAAGCTACTACTAATATTTTATATAAAATGTATATGCAAATGCGAACTATATATATACCATATCTTTATTTATATACATAATACAAAAAAGGTACGAATAACGAAGAAAATATTCTTAATACTTCGGCGCGTACATCATAAAGTCAAAAATATTCCATCGAACATCAGCTAACTTGAGGACACGTAAGAGGCGCATTTTTCCCTCACAGAAGCCAGCCACAGCATTACTTAATAAGACTCAAACATCAAAGAGACCCTGATTACAGGTAAAGCAATGTGTAGAAAAAATCCAGTCACATTTCCAACGTGTTTTTCCTTATATATTTTTTCAGTTCGAGCATGCGTAGAGTTAATTTTTCCAACAATATGCACGACAAACATAATTTCACTGATATTCTTATTTGAATTTACATCTTTCGCTGTGAATTTGCACGTCGTCTCCGTGTTTTATATAAATTATATTTCTGTTTCTACAGGTGTTATGTAATAAGTACTACACTACTGCACATAGGCATCCCTCATAGACTGCCATAAGGTACAGTCCTAAGCCACCTGCAGCCTCTAACTCCCTCCAATGTGTTTGAGGTCACTCCATTCATGAGAGGCTCGTCCTATACTGCGTTTGCCCGTGGGATCGCCACTCGAGAACCTTTCTTCCCCATCGGTTGTCCTTCGAGCTATGTGACTAGTCCATTGTTACTTTAGCTTGCTTATCCTTATATATTCTGCTTCTAGTAAAATTACAAGTTTTTTTTTTATATTATATGTGGTATGTATTAGATGTCTTAAATGGCTTTTGAATTGATTTGAATTCTCTAGACAAGTAGACCAAGTTTTAGATTTATGCATAGATTATAGTTTCATATGGACTATACCGCGGGATACAGCAAGTGATAAATATTTATTGATATTTTGGAAATAAAATTTAATTCATGAAGTAAGTGTTTTTAGAAACGCTAAGGCATAAGGATCAAAATGCGAGATCCAATTATTGCTATAAATTAAAAAACTTGGGTATTTTTTACTCAGTCAGAAGCCTCTCACATTAACTTGAGAATTGAACGTGCTGTGTTTTCGACTTATGTTTTATTTGTTTATTTATTCTTTATTAACTACATTACAAATATTTGAGAAGAAAATATTCAATTTCATTCTTGAAACTAATGATTTTCGTTATTTTTATAGACTAATGGTTTCCATATCCTCTCGTATTTATTTTAAGTATGTAAATGTTTTCTGTGTTCTCAATTCATTCTATACCTAAACGATTCTATTGGTAGATATCGCACAGATAGCAACGCGTTTTCCTCATTTATATTAAAATTTTTAGCTGGAGTTTTCTCATTGTACTCTTTGTCGTGTTCCGAAGCCTTATTATTTCTAATTACGGTTGCTCTTTCTATGTTTACTTCTTTATGTGGATTCGCTGTTATTTATTTTTATAGAATTTCCCCTCGATGTCTATAGACAAATACTTAATGTATGGAAAAATCTTGGTTAAATTTGAAATACTTTTCGTTGCTTTCGGGAGCTTTACCTTTTTGTTTCTCATTTTATTGTTATCTCCTTATATTCGATCGTATTTATTCGTTTGTTGTTTTATTTATGTATGACGTCATCTCTTTGTGCTTCACATGCGTTGTCTTGATTTAACGAAATGATAAAGGGAATATTATACTTTTCCTGTTACCAATGGAGATTTATTAAGAATATGGTAATATGTAGGGTTTCGGGGCAAACGTGAAATGGTTGTTTTTTATTACATGAGTATAGTTAATTTGTGATGTATTTTTGGGCTTTGATTGGAGTCTTGTTTCTATGAAGCTTTGTTTCTATCTGATACGTTGTACTCTTCTTAGATTTAAACTATCTATATTGTTTAATTTCGCAATAATCTCATAACAATTTATTATAATAGAAGTAGTTGGTTTTTCGAAACACAGTCTTTGTTCTGTGTCTGTCTAAATGTCTATCAAATATTAATTAAATATCTAGTAATAGTATAAATTGGTATTAAAATTAAAATCACAACAGTTTCTCAGTTGGAGTTTATTATCGATCTCATCTTCCATAATAACCCTTGATTATACCAACATACGACAGTCTAGAAGCCTCAACGGGATTAAAGTTAAAACTAGAGACTATTCCATTTAAACTAGTGAGACTTACTAGGGAGTGCATAGACAGGAGTAAGCCGAAATTGAGTAGTTCGGGGCGCTGTTGCAATTAAGCATGTATATAGTGGCAACTGAAAATAAATTAACTAAGCATACGAGTATATGGTAATTTTTACATTTATTTTATCCTGTTTCTGTTGCTGGTCGTAAACCTTTTCTAATGCCTTCTGCCGTGTGTGTACATCCGCCTTTCATATGCGTCCTCTTCTGACCTTCTTCATAATATCATGGGTCTATCTAAAATGAGAATGCCGCACGCTCCATCACTCTCTGTACGTTTTTCTCTCTAACACCTCCTTTCCTCCCTACCATTATTACAAATATGACCAACGCCAATGCATTGCCACTTCAGCATTTAGATAGGTCTATGACACCAAAATTTCTTATTTGGTGTCATAAAGTGAACAGCTTCAAACAAAAGTAAATAGGTCGTATATGGTTCTACAAGGTCAATCTTTTACCTTATCATCGCTCTTCAACAGGCGAGAGTATGATCAATAATGAGAGCTATAAATAATTAAAAATAAAAATCTCGCTGCCAAAATAATCACTTCTACACAAATGTATCGCAGTTTTTGGCGTGTTAAACTGCCCACATCTGATGATTCATGTCTATCGAAATCTGCAGTAACCGACCTGGAGCTGTAAATTAGCACCACATGAAAATGACAATATATGTCGTCACTGGCCCCAAAAACCACCCGTACCTTTGGTATATTCTGGCGGAATACCTATAAAAATTACAAACGACGATGAAGCTAGATCAGTCCATCATGACAAATTCATTAAAAAGAAATTACCAAGGTTTCTAAGAAGACCTAGTGGATTTAGATCTGACAGTCGTATTCTACTAGACCACGTGGAGGTTGACTTGAATATATTTCTAACAATGAGCCATTAGATTCCTTACTAACAATTCCTTCCTCTCTGGCACCTTAAGATTCTGTCCAATCGCAGATTGACTGTTCTAAGTTCAGTTTTATCTTTACTGTTGCAATGTACTTGTACACAGGCCTGGGCCGGCTGCACCCGTACGGCTCGGGCAGCGGCAGCGGATCCAGCAACGGCAGCGGTCGTCGGCGCACGCGCAGCCGCGGCCTATCCGACTCGCCAACAGCGCCCACTACACCCACGTCCGCGTCCGACAACGCGTCAGACGCGACTCTCACCGACTCTGAGTTGCCGCTCGCGAGGGACTCCACTCTACTCGTGCAAAACGGTAATTATTTTTTTAATAAAATGTAAAATAAATAAACGCTCACAAATATTATACATTGGTATTTTTAACGAATGAAATTGAAATAGTAAGCACGTCTTCTGTGTCAGTATACACTCGTGGGGTACCAGGGATGAAGGTGAAGTGACGTTATTTGGCTCATCGAATTTACCATGACGATTTATTACTCATCCTTATATATTATTATTCTTTAGTCCCCGTTACAACAATATCATCAGCATACTGTAAAGGAATTGAAAATGACAAAAAATGTTGAACCATTGTAGTGAAAATTTTCGTATATTCGATAGGAAAGCGATGATAAATTTTATTATTGTTGATAGAAGTATACTTCACAATAATGAAATTTACGTATCAAAGCGTTCTCTTTATTTTAGACAACATGTGAACAGAATTTATCGAGAAAACAAACAAAAAATATACAAGTTAGTAACAACTCGGCGTCTCAATAAAACCTCTTCCGATACAAATCGTTCTTGTAATTTTGATTCGACGCAATCGCCCTCCGAAATCGGAGTCTTTGTACAAGTAACGTTTCCGATTTCGTATGTCAAAAGCTATCTAAGTTGTTCCTCTAGAGTTGCCGTTTATTTTGTTTTCCTATTCTACAACGGGCCTTTTAGGCCCAATCAAAACAATTCCCTTGATTCCTTTTGATGTATTTAATAAATACCAGATTGAAACATTCACAACAATGGTCTCGTTACTGAAAACATTAGATTTTCTATGCTAAATGTAAAATTTATTATAAAATTGATTACAAAATAACTTAATCGCCAAACTATCTTTTGTTTGGGACTTCGTACATTTTGGAAGTGGGAAAATCAATTAAATAGACTAGATGGTATATCACGGTCAAGATAAATTGATTTAAATCTATGATTATAGCAGTTCGAATAGGGTTATTATAATTTTACCCCGTAAATATGTATTTCTCTGTACCAAATACAATTATGCAAAATGACTATTAATTAAACGTTTAAGTCAAAGTACGTAGTATATTATTTTTATTAATACATAAAATTAAAAATTGATATAATATTTATTTGCTTGTTAATTTAAATTTATAATATTAGTAAAGTTTAACTTAAAATTTAACGAATATCCCTATTAGTCCTATACTATTTGTAACGATTTACTATTTATCGGCTCACTATCATCGACTTATGTACAGGATCTCGTATTCAAAGTTCGAAGGATACGCCGGCAAAAGTGTTTGCCAGAATGCAAAATGAAGCATGTGATTGCTACGGAATCGCATTATGGTTCAACCCGAGATGTCAATTTTTAAATACCACTGGATAAGCTATTTTTCTAAAACCTTTTTTCTCAGTAAGCCGCAAAGATATATTATGATATTTTAACGATATTAAACGACTTTAAAAATATATTCCTAAGGAACTAATTATGCAAAAAATAGCCCTCTCTTATCATCAGATAACGTGGCTGTTTTCTGCATAATTAACTTCATCGTCAAATTTTTTTATAATTACATTATGTGATTAACGTCTCCTCTTTTTTTTTAATCGAAAATTAAATTTTATTGACCAATGAAACGTAACAAAAGGCGGACTCGATGCTAATGACATTCTCTATCAGCAAACCTTTTGAAAGTGCAGAATTACTCGAAATATTGTTAGCAAACAACGAACAAAATTTACTTGTAGACACACTTGTGTAATTCTATGTTCTAATTTAAAATAATTTGAATTCGCATTCTTTTTTCGATCAAAACCTTTTTTGATAAGATAATTTTTATGTCTTCTAAATTTAAAAATTAATTTTGTTTTCGAATCAATGTAACTGGCAGTCGAAAAAGTATTTAAGTAATATTTTAGTCCCTTCCAGATAATCTGCTATCCAGCTTTCAAAGCAACTCGGTGACACAGAGGCCTCTTGCGGCGCAAACCGTAATGGATTTTTATCGTGTCGCACTCCATGAAAATTGAACAGGGAATCCTAGGGAATACCGCTTTAATTTGCCCACCATCAGATTCTATAATCGTTCTAGATTTCATTGAATGCAATTTAATTAGAATTCTCTCGGTATGTTCCGATTGAAACCGACAGCGTTAGTGAGTCATTTGAATTTTGTGCTTCGCTGCCATTTTGTAACGCTTATTCGGTTTAATACGTTTAATTACTAACTAATCATATTGCGCATGTCCTTTATTATTTTATTATTTATATCGTTATTAATTTGTTTGTTTATATACGACATCATTAGTTGTTTGTGTATGGGTTTCATACTAATAGATTCAACAAAATGATCAAGAATGACCTTTAAGTTTCGTGTAGTTTCCAATTTCACGAAATTCTTATTCGTCCTGACATTTTATTTTGCATATTAGACTGCTTTGTTATTTCTTTCTAATATAGACAAATTCAAATTTATAATCATCGTCATCATTTCAGCTGTTAATTGTTCACTGTTTAACGTAAGTTTCCCTCACAGATTGCTAGAAACAGTCTTTAACCACTTGTATTCACTGACTCGAATGACATCCCAACTTCTCAAGATATTATAATTCGAATTTCAAATAACGAAACTTTTTTATATTACTATGATGGCAAACATGTATACGGCCCGTCTGATAGTAAACAGGGTTACCGTAGCCTATAGACGCCGATAACAACAGGGATGTTACGCTCGCTTTGCCGACCTTTAAAAAACCTTAAAATGCCCTTTTTGAAGAACCCCATACTGTAGTCTCTAGGGAAAGCCACGGCAGGAAGATCAGATCTGAAACAAATAGAGGCATTCAGTAGCGAAAATAATTCAAATTTTATTTTGCACAATAAACTCGCGTTCCGGTTATTACTGTATATGTAAGTTTAAAAAACATGAGCGGTTCACAAACGGCGTTTGAAAATTGCAAATTGTTCCCAGAAGTGCCATATTTACTTTTAGCGGGCAACATTCTACGTGTTGCTTCAACAAAGCGATAGTTATAACTTGGCCCGCAAATTACAAACGAAAATTTTCGATCCCGCCGCGTGTTTTCAATGTTTTCCAGTTGGTCCGTAAACTTTACCACCGAAATTTGGGTTCGATGTTTGTTTACATTCAGTTTTTGGGTTCACCAATTTAAACTATCGCCGCTTTTATTTGTCGTTTAGTCGACATTTGTCGTGTCGCGGTCTACTCATCCTCGCCCTTTGTTTGCGGCCTCGAATTTATTCTGTCTGTGTTACGGTTTCGCCAAATTTGAGATAATTTGTCCGGGTATAATGGGAGTGGTGTTTAATCTTTAATTCGGGTCGTCCGATGTCATAGACTTTATTTCACGTCACGGGTTAATTAAAATAATTTATGTGATCTCTATTGATTCTGACGTGTTGTATTAAATGTGTACATTAAATATTCCTGCTTTATAGAAGATACATATGTACATATTTCCACGTAACGTGATATGGGACGGTTTTGCGAATATTAGAAATGTGTGTAAACATTGCGGATGTTTGTTACTTAATCACGCTTTAATGACTGGAAGAATTTCTTAAGTATGTATGTCTTAAGACATTAGATATTTTTTATTACAATTTATCAGGGCAAAGCCAGTAGACACATCTAGTATTTACCTATACTACTGCTATCAAGTTATTAAACACTTATTTGAAAGTACAGAAATCCTTATTCTTTATAGATTTCTATTTAGTAGTTACCGCTTGTTTCCCTACATTATTTATATTTTTTATATCTCCAATCCGACAAAGAAAGTGTACTCTATTATAAGAATATTTTACTGTACAATGCCTGATCAATAAGTATCCTCTACCCTGTTACCTTTAACAAAATATTATTCTAATAAATATGGGGTTTCCTTTACAAAATAACACTAATGAAGTCTTGAGAACTCTTACTACATCTATTTGAAACACAAACTACAGATACTTCCTTGTATTCTGTAATGATCGAGAATTTAAATTCGAAATCTGTGATTTAAATTCGTCAACCTTTTTTTTCGATTCGATATTTAAAATGTGAATACATTACTAAATTCTAAATTTAAAACTGAAATTTATCACAAATCGGTTTGGATGGTCGTCATAAACGCGCGACAAGTCGTAAAAGCGGGCCGCGCTGCCGAATGTGTTAAATAATTTGATACGCGGTAACAACGACATTTTTATGTCGCGATATTTCGGTAGGCCCCTGAGTGTTGCCTTTAATTGCTGCTATTAAACGCATGTTTGTGACGGATCGTCGAGGGATTAATAGTGTTCTTTTTTCGAAATAAGAACTTACATCTGTCTCTGTCGCCCTTTGTGTTTCGAACTAAGATTGAAAGGGATGCATTCATTGCAGTGTTTCGGTAGCGTCCGTGGGATAATCATAATGAAAGCCGGAAATTCGTTAACGAATATGGCAGCGCTTCGTTAAATTTAATGCGTGTTTATTTAATGAATGACTGCCTTTTTTAAATTTCCATATGGCGGCATGCTGTGTTTCGAATCAATATGATCTATTTGGAATTTTTTTTTAATTCGTCCATTGTCTTCAAGATATATTAATTGTCATATACTTGTAATGCTGACAATACACTATCAATATTTTTAACAAAGTCTGATGAAGCAAGTATTGCTGACTATACTTTCCAGGCCGATAGCGGCGTGATAAGCCTGGACTCCGTATATTATAGTTGAACCAAATAATGATTAGATCATCTGACATACTCGAACAGATGCTGCTTTTATGGACTGGTTACTTTTTTAAATTACGTTGAATTACAAGTCTTAACTAAAAATTTTTTTATAACTTGTAAAATTCAACTTTTGTTTGAAAAATGTAACAATTAAATTTCTTTACCATTATTGACTACTGACTCGACTGAAACTGTATTCCGAATTGAGTGGTAGAGTTATAAAAATAATATTATTCAAAAATTATTATAATACTTAATTAATTATTTATTTCTATTTCAACCTCAGATATTATATTATAATTATTATACACAAATATCAATAAATCCTCTTCATTA